TCCCAGGAGGGACGCTGGGGTGGTTCAGTCAGTTAAGCATTCCACTCTTGGCTTTGGCTCAGGTCATGATCCCAGGGGCATGAGATCAAGCCCCGTGCCAGGCTCCCTGCTGGCGGTGGAGTGTGCTTAAGGCTCGCCCCACCTCTCTCTCTCTCTCTCTCTCTCCCCCAAAACATAAAGTCCCAAGATAGAAGGCCCGTTGGGTACAATTGACATCTCTATCGCAGAGTCCAGTGCACCGTGAGGGATCCCTGTCCCTAAGACCTTGCGAAATCCCACTTTCACCAGCCTGCTTTTGATGTGCCTGGTCTGTTGGCCAATGATGGACAACAAAAGAAGAGCCCTTTACAAACAAGCCGGCCTTTGGGAGGAACAGGACAGGGGCAGTCTCAGAAAGCTGCATCCCGTTTCAGGACCTTCAGGGAAATTCCGGGCGCTAGATGGTCCCGTAGCAGCAGCTACCAAAGGCCGAAGCAGCAGGCCAAGAGGCTTGGAGCCGGATCCCCGCACCTGTTCGACTGGCCAAAGCAAGCGAGCTGGCTGCTGCTGGGGCTGGACGAGGCTCCGTCCCCAGGCCCTTCCGTGTGTTGCCGCTGTCCCAGAGCCAGAGCAGCACGGGCATCCGGGCGAAGGGAGCAGGTCGCCCGGGGCGCGGGCAGGCCCGGCGTGGGGGACGCGCAGGCCTTCCGCAGCAGCGAGAAGCCACCGCTTAGATGTGCCGTCCGTGGGTCTTAACCACTGAGTGAAAAAATCAAGATGCAAAATGAGCTCTATAGTCACGCCAGGCATGACATGTATTTTTTTTTAATTTTTTAAAAAGATTTTATTTTTTTATTAATGAGAGACACAGAGAGGGGCAGAGGGAGAAGCAGGCCCCAGGCAGGGAGCCCGACATGGGACGCGATCCTGGGTCTCCAGGATCACCGGGGCTGCCCAAGGCATGACATTTAAAACATGTGCACACACACACACACACACACACACACACACACACACACAAATAAAATAAAATTAAAATAAAATAAAATAAAATAAAATAAATAAAATAAATAAAAAATAAAACATGTGCACAGGGCAGCCCGGGTGGCTCAGCGGTTTAGCGCTGCCTTCCTCCCGGGGCGTGATCCTGGAGTCCCGGGATCGAATCCCACATTGGGCTCCCTGCATGGGGCCTGCTTCTCCCTCTGCCTGTGTCTCTCATGAATAAGTAAATAAATAAGTAAATCTTAAAAAAAAATAAATACAATCTTTTTTTTTTTTTTGATTTTATTTATTTATTCACGAGAGACAGAGATTGAGAGAGAGGCAGAGACAGGAGCAGGCTCCATGCAGGGAGCCCGATGTGGGACTCAATCCCAGGTCTCCAGGATCAGGCCCTGGGCTGAAGGCAGTGCTAAACCACTGAACACTAGGGCGCCCAAATAAATAAATTTTTTTTTTTCCAAATAAAATCTTAAAAAAAAAAATGTGCATGGAACACATTTTTTAAGAACGCATGCAGACAGAAAGACACACGTGAGATGCGTTGGCACGGCTGGCCCAAGTATGGGAGGAGGACACAGAACCACAGAACAGAAGAGGAGAAAAAATAACGTGGCGGGTGGGTTACTGTGCCCGGGCATTTCCCAGTGGAAAACCTAACGGGTGTGTATCCCTACCGGCCCCGCCCCCTGGTGTGCTGGTAAATGTTTAACAAATGACTCTCCAAGGGGAAAATAAAATGCTGAGTTGTGGCGATTGCGACTTCCAAGGTGAAAAATCCTACCGTGGGGGATTTCGGGCTCCCTGTGCGACTCGCTGAAAGCAGCCTGGGGGATGTGCTTTCTGCTCTCCGGAGTGGGCTCCCCGGGGACTGTCGGTGAGCTGGCTGAAACGTGACAGTAGCTTTTTGAAAGCCAAAATATGGGTGACCAAGATAAGGCAGGATGACAGGAGAGTGTCCTTCTACTTGCCTGACATCCCCTGCACCCTTCAGAAGGCTCACAGACTGTAGCCAGCACCCCAGCAGGAATCTTAGATGTGCCGGAAATCTTAGATTTCTTTCCAGCTTCTTAGAAAGTGCTAGTTAGGTTTCCATCTCCCAGTCTTGCTGACCAAATAAACTCTGACTTAAGATATATCCCCCAGATGTCTACTTTTCTCTACAGAACGTTAAAAAGAAGGTAATGGAACGGTTGCCTGGCAACCGTTATATATTTTTTTTTCTATATATTTTTCTATATATTTTTCCAGGGAAGGCAGTAAGTGCTGTTTGGCAGAGAAAGGCAATTAGCATCGGATTTCCTTGAGGGGAGCTAGTTCTTTCAAAGAATTAACCATCATCACTGGTAGAAGGACCAGATCAGCCTCTACCAAAATAGAACTTGAAAAAAAACAAAAAACAAAAAACAACACCTCGTCATTGCCTTAGAGCAGGATGTCTCAGCTTCGTCCCTCCTGACATCCGGGGTCAGAGAGCTCTGTGGTGGGGGCGTCCTGGCCAGTGCGGGGGTTCAGAGGCACCACTGGTCCCTTCCCATTCCATGCCCGTCTCCCTGTCCCTTGTGACGACCAAAATGTCTCTGGACATGGCCAAATGTCCCCCGGGGTTGGGGAGAGGGGGCATGAAGTCACCCCTGGTTGAGGACCACTGCATTAGAAATATGTATGTCTTAAATCTTTTCATCATAATCTTCTCAAATTTTGATTTCCACCGAGGAGGCCTCGCCACGGTGACATTACAAAGACACTGTCATTCGGGTCAGGTAATGAGTGATTTGGGAGAGTTCCATGAATCTTCAGGAATTGCTTTTGTTTCTATTTCATAAATGTGTACCGAGTCCCTTGCACTGTAGACAACTAGGAGACGTGTTTTTGCACGGGCTGTCACCAAACCAACATTCTCCATTAGATGTGTTTTTCCTTAGTTTGATTTCTTAGAGAGGCCTTGGAGTGAGCCACCAAACACTGCAAGCAGCGGGCGGAGGTACAGATTACCCAGAGACTTTCGAGAAGCCTTTCAAGTGGCTTTTCCTGCTTCGTAGCTAGCAAGGACTCCTCTTACCTCACACAACGCATTTTGATTTTGTCCTTCCTCTGAATGCTTGACAAGGTAAGGCAATTAGGACCCTTGTCCCCATTTGACCAACGAGGAAGTTGAAGCTCCGAGAGATTGAGGTCAAACCGTCACCAAGGTAACCCAACTTCCTAATGGCAACACGGAGCCTGAAAACCAGGAGCCCTGACCCCTCACGAGGTCCTGCTGCCCCTCACCACACAGGACTTCGCGGTTTTCTGGAAATTTCCGAAGAGAAGTCAAGAGAAAAGAGGGACAGAGGGAGGGAGGGTAGGAGAGAGTGGGAGACAGGGACAGAGAGGCAAAGGAAATGAGAAAAAGGAAGGACGTGAATCTCCTAAATTATAATTCATAACTGACTCACGTTAAAACAAAACATATTGTTTTTACTGGTAAAGCCCAATTAACAAGCGGTAAAACAGAAAAATTCCCTCTGTTGCTCTGCACTGTATGTAGTATTTCTTCCTGAGCGCTTACTTAAGCTTTCAAATAAAAATCGATATTCTGGAGTCTTCTGAAATCCAAGGTGTTAAAGACTTCCAGACTCACGGGTCCAGACATCCCGGTGCTCTGGGCCACACAAGTTTCCCTTCACTGTCAGTTAACCTGAATTCGCAAGAATTCCCAGAAGGCAAATAAAAGGACCCGGATACTGCTGGTCTTTCTTCCATGACACCATCTATCTAACAGGTCTCTATTTGAGCTGACCCTTCTCGTGCTAGAGACTGTTCCTACAAACCAATTTATTTCTGCAGAAGCCCTTTTCTTAGATGATGTGCCCTTTACTTAAAAAAAAAAAAAAGATTTTATTTATTTATGAGAGAGAGAGAGAGAGAGAGGGAGGCAGAGACACAGGCACAGGGAGAAGCAGGCTCCATGCAGGGAGCCTGACATGGGACTCGATCCCAGGTCTCCAGGATCACGCCCTGGGCTGAAGGCAGATGCTAAACTGCTGAGCCACCCAGGGATCCCCTAATACTGTATTTTTTTAGGCTTTGTCCCCCTCATTTTTTTTTTTTTAATAACAAACACTTTGAGAATTAGAATTGGTCTCTCTTTGTTCTCTTCACTGATAAAATCTGTTTCCCCTGCAACCGACTACTAAAATCTTTCACCTGAAAATTAAACTCTTAGCTTATTACCCTAAACTGGGGCAAGGGGGAGCGGTCATCGCATTCTTTTCCGTAAAAGGTCAGATAGTAAATATTTCAGGTTTTGTGGGCTATGGAAGGCCTGTGTCATATATTCCTTCCTTCTTTTTTTTTTTTAATTTTTTTAAATTATTTATTTATTTATGATAGTCACACAGAGAGAGAGAGAGGCAGAGACACAGGCAGAGGGAGAAGCAGGCTCCATGCACCAGGAGCCCGACGTGGGATTCGATCCCGGGTCTCCAGGATCGGGCCCTGGGCCAAAGGCAGGCACCAAACCGCTGCGCCACCCAGGGATCCCTCCTTCCTTCTTTTAACAATGCTTTCAGCAATTAATTTTAAATGGGCCCTAACTAACCCACTTGGAATGAGTTGGAACAACTTTACTTATCCATACTTCGAAGACAAACTGAAGGGAACTAAAGCTCACGTGCTGGTAATTCAGAAGGGCTGGTGGAGAAAGGAGTCTTCCAGTGGGTGACCCTGACTTTGCTTGGTTTTGCCTTAAGAAGCCCGAACCCAGGGAAGCTGATCAACAGGGATAAAACTGAAATGAAAGCACAAACACAAGGCCAGTTTATTTTACACAGACTCCCGAGGTAGTTAATGTGGGAAACAGCAGGCTAGTCATTAAAACCCTCTCTGGGGCTAGTTCATTCAGCACACATCTCATTCACGCTCACGAGGCCAAAACGAGGTCAAAATGAGCACAAATCAAGCCCTGGAGAAGAATCCAGGCCATGGGCAGTGTCTCCAAGCTATGGATCCCAATTTCCCTAAAACAGCTCAGCAGATTCCAGAGAAGGTAAGAGAACTTTATTTTCATAAAAATGTCCTCTTGAAGCCGGCCCTTTCTCCCATCACTAGAAAGCAGCCTTATCTGTAAAAAACAATCCATTTATTTAGACATACTCTTTTTAGGCAACTTTAACTTTTTCCACCGGCGTAGGACCACTCTGTACTTTTCACTTTCCGTTTTCTCCTCCAACACTTTTTTCAGGAGAACTCTCATGACTGTCTCTGTTTCAGCTTCTTTATCCTCTCCAATTAGAAGATCCAATGTATCTCCCACTTTCACCTGAAAATTAAAAGAAAAGTCAGCCTTTATTGCATCTTGGGAAATGCAGGCCAATGCAAATATACTTAAGTCTATTTTTTTTTTTAAGATTTTATTTATTGGGATCTCTGGGTGGCACAGCGGTTTAGCGCCTGCCTTTGGCCCAGGGCGCGATCCTGGAGACCCGGGATCGAATCCCACGTCGGGCTCCCGGTGCATGGAGTCTGCCTGTGTCTCTGCCTCTCTTTCTCTATCATAAATAAATAAAAATAAAAAAAAAAAAGATTTTATTTATTTATTCATGAGGGGGGGGCAGAAACACAGGCAGAGGGAGAAGCAGGCTCCACGCAGGGAGCCTGACGTGGGGCTCGATCCCGGGTCTCCGGGTTCAGGCCCTGGGCTGAAGGCGGTGCTAAACCACTGAGCCACCCAGGCTGCCCTAAGTTTATTTTTTTAGTAATCTCTACACCCAACGTGGGACTCAAACTCATGGCCCTGAGATCAAGAGTCGCATGCTTCACTGACTGAGCACACCAGATGGCCTGCAAACACTTTTACTTTTATTTTTTTTATCAGGGGACCATCATTACCCAGAGGAGCAAGTGAGAAAAGGCAGTGACTCCTCTGAAGGCGTCCCTTCTCCCTAGTGCCTCCAGGTGAAAGGGCCTCACTCAGGATGCCTCCAACACCCTTGCCCAGTAGCATGACTGAGTGACTTTCCATCAGACCTAGACAGCTGGCTGCTATATGGGCAGCTCCTGTGAGGTGTGGCTCAAATACCGCTACGGGGTGATTGAAGGAAACACACGGAGGCATTTGTTTTGGTAACAATGACAAGAGACAAACAGGGCACAATCTAGAGTATGTGCATAGTAATGATTACCAGCACTGAGACAACCATTTCCAGTATGACTTTTCATTGATTTCATCCCAGATGAGCTACATAATTGGGGATGGGGCAGTCTGTTGAAAATTAGTCCCTGTGGAATAACGCTTGGCTGTATCTCTTAGAGAAATGGTAAAGAAACTTCTCTTCCAGGACTGATTAACCCCAGAGATGCCACATCATTAAGTAGACAGGACTTAATTCACAAAGGTGGAATGTCACAGAAAAGAGGATCAAATTGGATGCTGACTTACTTAGTGGGTTCAAAGGGCTAGTCAAACCCATTCTTGCCCAGATAGGAGCCTTGGGCTGAGCAGTGTGGGACATGTCCTAGGGCAGTCAGACCAGTACTGACAGGGACAGCCCATGGTGGAGACCTAGTCCTGACACCTCAGGATTCTAGGGGATCTGCCCAGTGACTCAGGAAGGAGCTAAATGGATGGAGGTGCCATACACAGCTTCTACTAGAACACAAGCCAGGAATGACTGGGGCCATCTCAGACCACTCAACACTGCTTCCAAGGAGGCGGGCAGCAACCCCATGTGTGGGCCAAAGACCCTAAGTGGGCGCACAAGGCCATTTAAAAAGCCTACTGGAGGGTTTCTGTTTAAGAAGTATGGTGCCATTTTTACCTTATTTTCTAATTAATACTCTCTGAGGCAATCCTAAACTCATGCTGTTAAAAAACATCCCGACCTCACCAGGGCAAGCTCGTTCTCATACTCGTTCTGTCACCCATTCAAGGGCTCAATACTCAGTCGTTCACAACATGGGAATACACACGTTTGCCACAATGCCATACTGGTCAACCCAGGCAGCTTAGAGCAGCCAGATATGAAACTCACGTAGCAGCTGATTATAAACCGTTAACTTAAAAAACAAAACAAAACAAAACAAAACAAAACAAAAAAAACGTTAACCTTCTCCCTCTGGGCTGAGAAGCAAAAAGGCTCACTCCACTAGGAGGCATGCAGACTGCTTCTCCCCCAGGGTCTGAGGCATGGGCTGACCCAGGCATCATCTAGGGGCGCTGTCCTCCTGTAGTTCTTAAGAGTTCAACAACAACAAAAATGACCATTTGGCCCAACGTGTGTGGACATTTACAATCGATGTCCAGATATACAGAAATACAAGGCTTGAGAACTCTGCTTTATATTTTTCAGCATGACTTTATTTTTAAGATTTTATTTATTTATTCATGAGAGACACAGAGAGAGAGAGAGAGAGAGGCAGAGACACAGGCAGAGGGAGAAGCAGGCTCCATGCAGGGAGCCCGACGTGGGACTCGATGCCGGGTCTCCAGGATCACGCCCTGGGCTAAAGGCGGCACTAAACCACTAAACCGCTGAGCCACCAGGGCCACCCATCAGCATGACTTTATTTCATTAAAATTCACTTTTTAATAAGTAACAAATGCTTGTGATACAAAATATAAAAGGATACACAGAGAAAAGGGAACCCTTCTTGTATACCCCTTCACAGATGGACTGTGTAATATCTGTCCCTTAAAAAAGCAGGCTAGCGTGTAGCTGAGCAGCAGATCCCTTTGGTAGCTTACTTCTAAGGCAGAGAACAGGAAAGGAATGTTTCTCCTCTACCCAGTCAATCCCAGGGAGAGAAGAGTGTAGGAAGCTTCAGTCCCCACACTCGGGCTCTACATACCCTTTGTCTAAGTCAGCAGAGACCCAGCACCTGGTTCACAGCTTACAGAGAAGCTCTGCTCTGCTACAGGAGGGGGGTTAGAGCTGGGGCATCAGAAAACTGCCTGACCCTGTAGCGCCAGCAGCGAGGCACAGCCCGTGCAGCAGGCCACGGAAGGGGAGGCGTCCTTTATTCCCTGCAAGGGCCTGTCCTTTCTGCTGTGGGAGACGGCACAGCAGACACAAAGCAAAACTGGCTGGGATTACGGGCTGTTCCAAATATCTACATTTCAAATCTCCCCTTAGCTGCAGTTACTATGGCTACAGGCCTCCTAGTAACAAGGCAGTCGAGTGTTAACACTGGCCCCTTCCTCTGCTGACCCTCAGGAGAAATCTGGAAGGCAGCCGAGACAACGGAACACCCAAGGCAGAATGAAGCAGGAGCAATTAGACTGTAGTTAACAATATCTCAAAGCAGAGGGCGAAAAATAGACTCGTGGTGTTTGTAAATGAGGCCCCGGCACAGAGGTATGGTGCATGGAGAGCAGGGTTCGTCTTAGGAACACCTCGCCTGAGGAGAGGGGGCAGGGCTGCAACTCGGAAAAAGCACTTCTGGGCAGAGGAGAAGAGCCTGATCTCCAGAGGCAGGTGTGGAAATCAGTGCCTGATTTCCTGCAGCTCCCGGGAGCAATGACTGGCAAGCCGAACCTGCTAGCTCAGGTGCCACCCCAGATCGTGGACCTTGGACTCCACCGTGAGCCAGGAACTGGCGGGTTCCCCACCCCCTCCTGTCCGTTTAGCCCGAAAAATCTGTGATCCCAGAGATCGAGGGCTCTGAAAAGGCTCGGTGCTCCCCGGGATCTGTGGCCACCGGCTCACATCCCCCCCTGTCCCAGGGCAAAAGGATGTAGTTCAAGCCCTCCAGCTCCAGGGTTGTTGTGAAATATGAAACAAGCTTAAAAGCAATCTCCACAAGTGTGTCTAACTTCCCTGGAACATTTGTTCCCTAGACGCTAAGAGACTGTGTCTGCTAATGCCTCCTGTGTCTGTGTCTTCCAAACTTTCTAAGAGTCTCTGTCATATGCTTTTTTATTGTGCTTTGTTAACTTTTACTATCATTATTTTTCCAATTATAAAAGTGATCTATACTTGTAAAAAATTCAGAAAACACAAAGAATGAAGGAAATATAACCCATAAAATGCCCCAAAGATAAATACTAGATGCATGTATATATGCAACTTATTTGACAAAACATGTAATTTTAACAGTGTATATATGCATATATACATACATATGATACATATATATATGATTTATTGTAACAACACTGGATACTGGAAATACATTTTCTTGTATCTGCTTTCTTTCGCTTAACAACAGTCTTACTATGGGCCTGTCAGAAAATGGGGAATCTCTTTTTTGATAGCTGCTCGGCACACAGAGCAGGGCACATAGCAAATGCGGGGGTGGGGACGGCGGCGGCGGGGACTGCTGAACCAAATAGAATCACACATCTGCTCAGGTAACAGCAGTCCAGAAACTTCTACATGGACCAACTGTTTCTTTTCAGTCTCATTAATAGCATTTCATGGGGCTAATGACTTGGAAGTTAGATGGATTTTTACCAGTTGTGATAGTGGCCTATCTTATAATTTTAAAGAAAAAGGGAAAGCTTTATCTTCAAGTCATTAAAGCTGCAAAAGAGCAAGTGGTTTGTGTGACTGAAGTTGGCTGGTGATTCTCACCGGCTTGATCAGGCCCATGGGGAGTTGCCGAGGGGGTAACACAGATACACACAAGGAGCCACTGATGCCCCCACGTAAGCAGCCTGAGGGGAAACTCGGGTGGCACTGAGTACTGGCACAGCAACGGACAAAAATATCTGGCTGTCATAATGGCTCACCGTTCTGCTTTTCTTCCATAATTTTTCCCCATTCAGCCTGAGTTCACCTTTGTAGAATGCATCTTCCACTTTGCTTAAAAAAAAAAAAAAAAAAAAGAGTCAAATGCTTTGAAATAGAAATATATTCAGAACAATTACACAAGCTTGAGAAAAACACCTGCCATTAATGCTTATTCTGACAGTGACCAGCCTGTCCACAAAATCTCCATGCTCGGTGTGCTTCTGAAGAGATGCTGAACCGCTGCAAAGATCTGCTGGTATCATCAGGCAGGTAAGCTTTGTCAGGGCCTGGGGTACTCCACCTGACTCCTGCGGCGCCCCAGGCAAAGCGAGGGCTCCCGTGATTCATGACCACCAAAGGGCTCTGGGCTCTGAGAGAAAAACCAGGCACCACACGTACGGTGAGGCCATTAAAAAATCCTCTGCTAGTCTGAGGTTGGGGAAATTCCAATCCAGCAGCTGCTGATCTTAATGTAATCGCTAGGGCAACTAGACCAGGAGAGGATGCTGACAAAAATCAGTACGCATTTCCCTTGCTGTTCTGATTCCAGGTGATTAACATCTGGGGTTCTGCTTAATAATAACAGCAGCAGCTACTTCTCTGGGGAAGAGAGAGCCCCCCGACCCTTACAAGTTTGCCAGATTTTAGAGAACATTCGGTAAATCCCAACAAGGATGCTTACAGGCTCAGTTACCTTTATGAGTCCTTAAGCTTCATGGATTCAAAAAATTAAACTATGCCATTAAATTAGGTCATAAAGGTATAAATTACACATGGAAATCTTTCTGAATATATTATCTATACCATGATTCTTACCTTGCATGCAGTATGCACACAATGACTGCTAAATGAATGAACAATGAGGGTCACTATTCTTATATAATTAGCCTAGCAGAGAGAACAAGAATACTCAAGAAATCTTGAAAGTTCCATTTGTCTTCATGCACTATGTATGAACACACATAGCATTTTCTTCATAATAGCTAACATGTATCAAGTACCTACTATGTATAAGGTCCTGTTAAAATGCTTTATTATTTTTGAAATTTAAATCCAATTTAATTAACATAGTGTATTATTAGTTTCAGAGATAGAGGTTGGTGATTCACCAGTTGCACGTAACACCCAGTGCTCATCACGTGTCCTCCTTAATGCCCAGCCGCTCCCCATCCCCCTCCAGGGACCCGCAGTTTGTTTCCTATGACTAAGAATCTCTTATGGTTTGTCTCCCTCTCTGATTTTTGTCTTCTTTTTCCCCTCCCTTCCTTTATAATCTTGTTTTGTTTCTTAAATTCCACATAGGAGTGAAATCATTGATTTGTCTTTCTCTGACTTATTTCACTTAGCATTATATCCTCTAGTTCCATCTACTAAATGCTTTAGACAGAGGAGCACCAACTTCTAAAGTGCTATTTTACATTTTACAGATGAGGAAACTGAAGTTTAGGAAATTCAAGGAAGTTGCCCACGCTCACTCGGGGCACAAGGGGTCTAGCTGTAGAGCCTGCATTCTTTACCACCACATCACACTGCTTCTGTTGCTTCTAAAAGGTACCTTTTTACACAGTGGCATTTGTGAAACCCAGGCGTGGTTTTCTGTCGCTATCTACCTCTAACATGGTCATTACTTTCCTCAAGAAGCTGGTATTAAATTGGTGGTTCATCTTAGAGTTGACTGTGTCTTAGAATCAGGGAAATATGGCACATGGGATGTGCAGGCAATCACCTGACTTCCTGCGGAGAGTTTTCATCTGTAGAAGGAAATAACTGAAAACAGGTGACCTGGAAGGTCCGCTCATATCTGTGGCTGCTCCTCACCATAATATGGGCTGAGTGATCAGAAATACTGCATTAAAATGACAAAAAGACTAAGGATTCTGTAATAAAATGCACATCATACTTACTTTCTTCCAACATCTAGGCCTGTCTTTAGGATAACATCATACCGGAAAGACTGCACTACTTTTTCCAGGTCTTTATAGTCTTTGACCACACTGGGGTCATCCTCGAGCTCCTCTTCCCGCTCACTCATCTCACGATCACTCTCTTCATCAGAGTCCTCTTCCTCTTCGGCCTTTTGCTGAGTCTTCTTAGTGGATTTTTTAGAGCTTATATTACTTTTAAGTCTTATGGAAAATGGAAAAATATATTCTGGAGATATTAAAAGCCCTGGGAGTCTCAGTGAGAAAACGTTATGGAAAAATGTTTTACAATTTGATGTGTTTAACTGGGTACTAGAAAAATATAAGTATCGATTCCAGGAAGCACAGAGTTTATATGGAGGTGTCCCTTGTAGCGCTCCCCAGAGTCCAATCCAGGCATCTGGCTTTCTCAAAACGCTGGCAGGCAATCGGACACTAGTCATAGCCATGGTGCATATAACCTGAAACAGACAATAATTCAGTTTTATTTCACAAGCGAAGTGTCTTGGAATTCTGACAACATAAACCATACATACCATGAACACTTTGTCAGTACTATACTTATTCTCCCCTACAAAAGACCATATTGGTCTGCATGGACGCAGGGCTGTGAACTATATGCCATGGTGAGTCTGCCGGCTGTGCTCACCTCACAGGGTGGCCCTAAAGGTGGAACTAGATGCTAATATGTATGAAAACACTGGTTCTCCTCTTCTCCAGCCACCAAATTAGCTTGGATACTGATTGTTACTGAAAAATATTAACAATAGTTCTTTTTTTTTTTTAAGATTTTTAATTTATTTATTCATGAGAGACACAGAGAGACAGAGAGAGGCAGAGACACAGGCAGAGGGAGAAGCAGGCTCCATGCAGGAAGCCCGACGTGGGACTCGATCCCGGGACACCAGGATCAGGCCCTGAGCCAAAGGCAGACGCTTAACTGCTGAGCCACCCAGGCGTCCCTAACAATAGTTCTAAAAAAAAAAAAAAAAAAAAGATCTCACGGAGAGAAAGACTTGTTTGTTGACATACTTTACTTCCTCACAATATTGACTTTGACAAGGAAGGACACCAAGTCACAACTTCGCAAAACCCAGCGAGAATCTTTTAATTTCAACCCCAAAGCCCAGCAAATCAGAGCTAGCAATGAGCAGATTGGACAGATCTGGATTTTACCTCCTTTTCCATCTTCCTCCTACTGTTTAACAGAGGCATTAGCTAGCAGAGAAGGGGCCAGGAGACCCACAAACTAGGTAATTGTTTCCTGAGGCATTGAGGTGCTGACGTGCCAGAGTAGTCAATTCCTATGTTACCTCAAAGGTGGCAGAAACCATCTTATGACTGGTAGCAAACCTTCCCAAGTACATCAAGATGGCTTTAGAGACCACGATTTAGTAATTTGAGAACGGCTGCCATATGGTCAGTATCTTCATACCTTGAGTCTGTGAATGACTTTCCATGGTGCCAAGGCTATACTTTCAGACAGATTTCTTTGATGATGGCTTCAATGATTTTTCCTTCCTACTTTCCATTCATTACAAAGCTGACAATAGCAATTACCCGTAAGCCCACTCAAAAGCACATAGCTAGCTACTTCCAAGTTATATTTGTTAACATTTGGGGCCTTATTTTTGTTGGCATGAACAAGGCAGACAAGACAAGCTCAACTCTGTGTATCTCACTGCTCTTGGGACCCCAATCTGCGTTTAACTGAGAAATAAAGCAGGCACAACTTAAGGGTTGTTTTTTTAACACAACTATAACTTGAAATAATTTTTAAATGCCATGAAATCCAGAGTACTCTAACGTACTGACTGGAAACTATTTGAAGCACCTTAAAGAGAAATAATTTTTATACATACTCTAATAGAGAATGAATAATAACTGCGCATAGAAAAAAAAAACCTTAAATTTTATAGAAGCAGGGATAAAGGAAGAAAACAGAATATTTCAGTAGTTCCTAGACTTTGTATTTCATGGATCACGACAATCAAAAATTAAGGGGCGCCTAGCTGGCTTAGTTGGTGGAGCATGTGACTCTTGACCTTGGGGTTGTGGGTTCAAGCCCCACACTGGGTGTAGAGATAACTTAAATAAAATCTTAAGAACCACGCCCACCCCGCCAAAAAAAACAAAAAAACCCTGTGGCCTAATGGTGGATGTTTTGCCAGGTAAATTTTTTTTAAAGTAGTAATTGCTGAGGTGCCTGGGTGGCTCAGGTGGCTAAGCATCTGCCTTCAACTCAGGTCATGATCCCAGGATCCTGGGATCCAGCCTCACTGGGCTTCCTGCTCAGTAGGGAGTCTGCTGCTCCCTCTGCTTCTCTCTCCACCACGTGTGCATGCACTCTCTCAACTAAGTAAATAGAATCTTCCCTTTCCCTTTCTCTCTTCTCTTTCTTTTTCTTTCTTCCTTTCCTTTTCTTTTTTTTTTTTTTTTAATTTATGATAGTCACACACAGAGAAAGAGAGAGAGAGAGAGACAGGCAGAGACACAGGCAGAGGGAGAAGCAGGCTCCATGCACCGGGAGCCTGACGTGGGATTCGATCCCGGGTCTCCAGGATCGCGCCCTGGGCCAAAGGCAGGCGCCAAACCGCTGCGCCACCCAGGGATCCCTCCTTTTCTTTTCTTTCTTTCTTTCTTTCTTCTCTCTCTCCTCTTTCTTTCTCTTTCTTTCTTTCTTTCTTTCTTTCTTTTTTCTTTCTTTCTTTCTTCTTTCTTTCTTTCTTTCTTTCTTTCTTTCTTTCTTTCTTTCTTTCTTTCTTTCTTTCTTTCTTTCTTCTTTTTCTCTCTCTCTCTCTCTCTTTTCTTTCTTTCTTTCAGATTTTATTTACGAGAGACCAAGAGAGAGGCAGAGACACAGGCAGAGGGAGAAGCAGGCTCCATGCAGGGAGCCTGATGTGGGACTCAATCCCGGGACTCCACGATCACACCCTGGGCTGAAGGCGGCGCTAAAGTGCTAAGCCACCCAGGGATCCCGAGTAAAAGAATCTTAAAAAATAAATAAATAAAGTAGCAGTTGCTACTCTTCTCATCATAACTAAGAGAAAGAAGATTTCAATGATTATTTGTGAAACACATTTTCATGGTAGAAAATTTGAAAAAGATATAAAGAAAATTCAAACCACCGAAATCCATTCTATAACAACCATTGTTAACATTTTAACATATGTTCTTCACAGTGTAAAATTTTAAGTAATTCTCTCATAAGCAGAGCCTTTCATACCTTCCCACCCTCCCAAAATACATAGGAAGGTTAACCATAAGTGGTCAGAGCTCTCTACTATCAGCCTCAGAAATTCTGTGTTGGTCCTAAGTTCTAGACTCATTAGAATTTATCCAGCTGATGTCCAAGTTATGGGCCAAGACAGCCCTGGCTGAAATCACCACTTACTGTTGGGCCTAGACCAGTCTGGTTAATAAGATGCTCTTGTAACACGGAAGGTAAAGGCTGGCATTAAGGATGATAATTTGCCTATCTTTAGGTGTTTTTAAAACTTTGGGTCATATGCCATTAAAATTTTTACTTTTTTAGAACTAAAACTAAAGGCACCAGAGTGTCTCAGTTGGTTAAGCAACTGCCTTCAGCTCAGGTCATGATCCTGGGGTCCTGGAATCAAGTCCCTGTGCTGGGCTCCCTCCTTAGTGGGGAGTCTGCTTTCCCCCTCTCCCTCTGCTTATGCTCTCTCACATTTTCCCTGTCAAACAAATACATCTTAAAAAAAAAAAAAAACTAAACTAAAACTGCAAAGTATAGAAAATATTACAGTACATCAGGGGCATGTAGGTAGCTCAGTCGTTAAGCATCTGCTTTTGGCTCAGGTCGTGGTCCTGGGGTCCTGGGATCAAGTGCCGCATTGGGCGCCCTGCAGGGAGCCTCCTTCTCCCTCTGCCTATGTCTCTGCCTCCCTCTCTGTATCTTTCTTGAATAAATAAATAAAATCTTAAAAAAAAACCACATACACATATATTAAGTATATACACATATACCCTGGGTCACCATGGAAAATGTGTATGTAGATAGCAATAAAAAAAAGTTTGAAAACACTGGTCTAAGGACTTCAGCAAATTGTGTTTTGCTATCAGGTATAATGCCAAAGGCCATATGTATGCCTGGGAGAACCTGGCTGCACATTCCCCCCCAACTAACAACACTCCCAGAGCCTTAAGTATCTACAGAGATGAAAGGGGCAGCCTCTCCAGGGAGGACTTTGTACAGGGCCCTCACTTTACAGAGGGCCACAAATGAGACTTGGAGCAATTTAACAATCTGCTAAGTCATACGAACAGCCAGGATCCAATGACAAGTCGTCTTAACGCTCATTGTTTACTATGGGTCAGGTCCTGCCTGTTAATTCACTTATTCCTTCCAACCAGCTCTTCTCAGTTACAGGGTCACACAAATACTAAGTGGATTCAACCCCAGGCTCCCTGGCTAAGGCAGGGCTCTTCAGCACCGTGCTGAACTGTCTGCCAGTCTTCTGTTCCTTCTGCTGCACCATGAAATTTAGGTCTCTTTTTCTCTTGAACAAAAACCAACTTTCACCAACTGCCAATACCAGAGAGAACGGGCAGTTTCAGCAGCAGAGGAGTGGAAGGAACCGTTGCCCTGACGTAGAAGTCCTAAGAGGAGACACCTTGGGAGGGGGAAGTCCTGTCCCATCCTAGGGCAGTCTCTGGAACCCCTCACTTCCCTCCCCAAGTCCTGCCTTTATACCACACTGTTACCTTTTGTGAGGAATGCCCCGATATCATCATATTGCTCTTTGTATGTATCACAAACACATCACATTTACCTACGCGAGGAAACTTTTACTGGCACAAAATAACTATTTAAAATCATACTCACATGGAAAGAATTAACATAACCAAAATGTCAAGCCCTGCATTATTTCCGTTTATTAGCTACTCCCTCTTTGTGATCTGCTTCACTCTCTAGCAGGCAAACGTTGGTACAGGCTGAAGTTCAGATAAAATTCATGAACATAAAATTGAGAAAACACGTTAACCTAATTTTTGCTGGAGATGATGACCATCTGTAGCAGTGGGCACCCAGGGCCACGGGGCAGTCTGAGAACCAAGGTTCTACCACAGAGGGGGGAGTGTTGGAGGAGAGGGCTCACCAGGCCTCAACCCCCTCCTGCACTAGAATAGCAGTGCTGGCAAATACTGGGGTTCCTTATAGTCCATTTGAAGAAAGGATTCTATTACTGGAAAAAAAAAAAAGTATCTGTCCTTTCAGCACAGCTTCTCTGTCTTCCGGGCTTCACACAGGACCCACTAACCCCTCCCAGCCCTCCACTGCCCTTTTCCAAAGTTCTGTTGCACCAATGTTATGTGTCTTTTGCACTATTCTCATCTCCCAAACTAAGGGTAGTGACCGGGCAGGAGCTGGGCCTCCTTCCTCATTCCCATCCCCCAACCAGCTTGGCACATATAAAAGCCCGTGAATACTTGCAGATTCATTTTCCAGAAATGAAGTGGGCAGCCTAACCTGCATCCGACCCTCCTTCACTCATTTGCCTGCATACACCAAGCAGCCAGGTAGCCGAGGCCTGCGTATAAAACCTACAGTTCTCGCCCTCAAGGAACTGCTATTCGAGGGCAATGGGGGCAAGTAAACTGGCTGTCAGGGGCCCAAGTGAAAGCTGACGTCCAAAGGAGGCTGGATTCAGCACAGGCTAAAAGCCCGGAGCAGGGATGCCTGAGAAGAGTTCTAATGGCAAAGGTGGCCGCAGACAGAACTTTGGGGAAGCAGCAAGTTATAACTGTGATTTTCAGTTTCTAACAGACCATTCTCATTAGCTTGCTGTGATTTCTCTCACTGAATAACCAACCAATCTTCTCTTAATCCCACTAAATACCAGCTACAACTTTCCTTGTTCCTCTTTACAACAAAACTCCTCAGAAAGTGCTGTCTCTATTCTCCTTGATGTCTCTCATTTTCTAAATCCAAAAGGTCACTTGTTAGTCCTCATCTTGTTGGACTTCTCAGCAGCATCTGAAATAACGGATCACTCCCCTCCTCTTCACTTGGCTTCCAGGACATCTTGCCCTTGGTTTTCCTCCCACTTTACCTGCTGTTCCGTCTCTTCTCCCAGATACCTTAATGTTGGAGGGCCCCTGGGCTCAATTTCTGGCCTGCTTCTTTCTCGTCTACATTCACTTTATCAATCGGCTTTGACAAATGCGTATCAAGACGCTAATCACTTCTGTGGCTTTAAATACTGCCCATCTGCCAACTAATCCCCAAGCTATAGCCCCATTCCAGACCTTTCTCCCAAATCCCAGACATGTTTATCTGTGCAGAAAAGAGTTAACGTAGCAGGCTTGAGATTATCCTTAGAAAGGCCTGCTTGCAAAGGTGGGTCTTTGGCTGGCATCTGGAAACTTGGATTTCAGGATGCGCACCATTCTCAGAACGGACAGGAGTCGCTCACTGCACCTAAACTGTACAATTTCTTAGGCTGAGTACCTGCTTTCCTTCTGGGAGTCTTGAATTTTGGTACATGCTAGGCAGACAGTGCCTATGTGACTAAAGCCAATCAACACCCCAGGAAGAGTCTAATAGCCTCCCTGATAGATATTTCAGGGCAGGAACTGGGCCTCCTTCCATCCCCATCCCATCCCCATCCCCAACCAGCTCTCGGCACGTACAAAAGCCAGGGAGTACAACTGGTCGCTGGGGACTGAAGCACATCCTAGGAGTCCACTGGGAGAGGACTCTTGGGAGACCACGACGTTTCCTGCACACTTTGTCCTGTGCATCTTTTCCCTTTGCTGACTGTGCTTTGTATCTTTTTGCTGTGATAAATCACAGCCATGAGCTAGAGCCAAGTCCTGTTGAATCTTCCTAACGAATCCATGAGCCTAGGGTTGGTCCTGGGGACTCCTGACACAATATGCAAATGCCTGATACCTCCATGTGGATGTGTAAGAGGTACCTCAAGCTTTATTGGTCCCCTGACATGTCCCCAACCCTAAATCTGTTCCTGCTATACAGCCTTCCTCATCTCAGTTGAATGAGAACTCCACCCTCGTAGGTGCTAAGAACAAAAGTTTCCAGTCTTTCTTGACTCTCCTTCATAGCCACATCCACCGACAGGCAATTATGTTGGCTCTATCTTCAAAACCTGTCCCATATCCCATCACCTGTCACCACTTCCACTGCTACCACAGACTTAGGTCACCATGATAGATGATGACAGTAATACGACAAAGGCTCCATTAGAGTCTACTTCCCACAGAGCAGTTGATTCTTTCAAAAAGTAATTGACACTGACCGGATCACTCCTACAAAAGCACTGAGAAAAGGTTACGGGCTCTACGTGATCTGGTCTCCCCATTCCCTCTCTGACCTTATCTCTTGCCACTCTCCACCTCTGCTCCCTCTGGTCCAGTCACACTGGCTTTCCTTTTTCTTTTTTTTTTTTTTTAAAGATTTTATTTATTTATTAATGATAGACATAAGAGAGAGAGAAAGAGGGGCAGAGACACAGGCAGAGGAAGAAGCAGGCTCCATCCTGGGAGCCTGATGCCGGACTCAATCCCGGGTCTCCAGGATCACGCCCTGGGCCAAAGGCAGGTGCCAAACCACTGAGCCACCCAGGGATCCCCTACACTGGCTTTCCTGATGCTCCTCACATACAACAGGAACGTTTATGGGTAAGGTCTTTGTCCCAGCTGCACCTAGAAGACGCTTACCCCAGATAACTGTATAGGGAACTCATTTTCAACTCCTCAACTCAACTCAACTCAAAGGTCACCTCAACGCTGTCTGCTCATTCCAATTTTATTTTTTAAAAAATTTATTTATTCATGAGAGACCCAGAGAGAGAGGCAGAGACACAGAGGGAGAGTCAGGCTCCATGTGGGGAGCCTGACGTGGGACTTGATCCTGGGACCCCCGAGGGTCACCGCCTGGGGGGAAGGGAGACGCTCAACCACTGAGCCAACATCCCATTTTATTTGATGAGCATCTTGCCCTCCCAATCTCCCCTTACTCCGCTCTACTTTTTTTCGGCCGTAGCACTCTCACCTATCAGTTTACTGTTTGTTTGTTTTTTCTTTTTGGACTGTCTCCCCTAATAGGATATAAACTCCAAAAGGGCAGGACTCTTCACCTGTATGTTTTCCTCTGCTGAATCCCAACTGCCCAGAACAGTGCCTGGCACAAGGTGAGTGCTAAACTAGCCGCAGTGGAATGAAAGTAAAGACCAAGAGAAATGGGGACGCCGGGGAGGCTCGGCGGTTGAACCTCTGCCTTCAGCTCAGGTCATAACCCCGGAACCCAGGTCGTGACCCTGGGGTCGAGGTGAGCATCTGCCTTTGGCTCAGGTCGTGACCTTGGGATCCAGGTCGCGACCCCGGGGTCGAGTTGAGCATCTGCCTCCGGCTTAGGTCGTGACCCCGGGACGGGATCGAGTCCCACGTCGGGCTCCCCGCTGGGAGCCTGCTTCTCCCTCTGCCTGGGTCTCTGCCTCTCTCTGTGTCTCTCATGAATAAATAAATAACATATTAAAAAAAAAAAAAAGATCAAGAGAAATGGAGCATCAGAATGAAGCCAGAAAAGATGCCCCCGAGCTGGAGCCGGCCTGCAGGGCAAGAGGCTGGCTGTCCGGAGGCCCTGCCGTCCAGGTCTGGACTTGGCCCCGAGAGCACGTGCATCACGGGCAGTGCCCCGACCGCGGCGAGCGCCGGGCAGCGGAGATGAAGACGGCTCAAGCCCGGAGGTCTGCGGCGAGATCCTCGGGAGACCAGAGACGTAAGCACCGCGACCTCCGGAGGGCAGGAAGGCGGCCCTTGACCCGCGGGGCTCCCGCCGGGCGCCGCTGCCGGCCGCGAGCCTGTCCCTGCGCTAAGGGCCCGGGCGGCTGCTGCGGGGCCGACGGCGGCGGGGCCGACGGCGGCGGGGCCGGCCCCTCGCGGAGGCCTCCCGCGTGGCCCCCCCGCGCCCCCCCCCGCGGGCCGCGCACCTTCCCGGGTCTTCAAGGTCAAAGGAAGCTGGGCACCTGCGTCCTCGAGCGCCGGGCCGCGTTCGGGGCCAGCCGTGGCGGCCGGGCGGCCCCCCAGCCGCCGGGTCCGCCGGGCGTCCCGAGGCCGGCCGCGCTCGGGGCAGGACGCGGGCCGCTCCCGCGGAGCCCGGGCAGCAGCGCACGCAGGGCGGAGGCGCTCGGCGCGCCCCGGCTTCACGCGTGCGCGCCGCGGACCACGGACGGCCGCCGCCCTCTCTCGAGTCCCTCCCGGGGCCGCGCGGACCGACGCCCCGCCCCCGCCCGCCGAGGCCCCGCCCCAGGCCCCGCCCCTTCCGTCAGCGCCGGCGCGGGGAGAGCGGGCCGCGCGGGGCGCACGGGCGCGGTGCCGGCGGCGCAGCGACCCCTGCTGGAGGCCGCGCCCCGGAGGACCGCGCGGTGTGGGCGGGGCGGGGGCGGGGGCGGGGGCGGGGGCGGGGGCGGGGAGGGGGGGCGGCCCGGGGCCGAGCGGAGCCCGGAGGCCCGCGCCGCGCCTTTCCACGTGGCCGAAGGGAGCTTACCTTACGGCGGCGTGCTTGGGCTAACGGGGTCCCGAAGCCTTCGGAGCATCTTTGAGAGTCACGACGTCGTCTCCAGAAAAGCGTCCGCACCCGCCAGAATTTACTGGTAAGAAGTAAGGTAAGTTCACAGCATCGTTTCCAGCATGGAGCCAATGAAAGGTCACCGGGTCGTGGGGGTCCTGCCCCGGGGACTCGAGGGCCAAGACGGTCCGAAAAGACGGCCTCGCGGGGCCCTGGTGGGAACAGCCTCTTGCCACGTTGGAAAGATGAACCAGAGGGGCACCTGGAGGCCCAGCGGTTGAGCACCTGCCTTGGGCCCAGGTCGTGACCCCGGGTCCTGGGATCGAGTCCTGCGTCGGGCTCCCCGCTTCTCCCTCTGCCTGGGTCTCTGCCTCTCTCTCTCTCTCTCTCTCTCTCTCTCTGTGTGTGTCTCATAAATAAATAAATAGAATATTTTAAAAAAATAAAAGAAAAAGAACTACAAAGACAGAAATTCCGAGGGACAACCTGTAATACTAATGGGGATACATGCTCTGTTAAATTAAAAATAGGGATATGTTCCTCTTTGTTATCAGAGCATCCTCCTTCCTCCTTCCTCCCCACCCCCCCCACCTTCCCACCACTAGTGTGTAGTTTCCCACACTTTGTTTTCCAAGTCTTCCTCCCTGCTCCACAGAGTGGCTCTTCGGTTGCATTTGGAACAATAAGAAAGAGCAGTTGGAAATTGTTTCAGATGTTGACGTGATACAACTTCGTACGACTGTCAGCTTAGTCTATCCTGTTGACATATTGGGTGATACGCAGTTGTATTTACTAGTTTAAGTCATTTGTAGGAGGTTACGGATACGTTGTTAAACCTGCCGCTAATAGGGGTTTATCAGTATTACAGACTGACAAAATGTACTGTATGATGATGCAAGATCACAGGAGGAGATAAAAGGATACAGTGATAATAGGCTACACAGACGCAACGTGGTCACTGGCCTTTAAAAAAAAAAAAGAAACCCAAAAAAGAAAAAAGAAAAAGAAAAAAAGAAAACTTTCAATCAATCAATTGATCGATCAATAACATTTCATTAGATGAATTGAGGTTTTTTGTTTTGTTTTTTTTTTTTTTTTGGTCTAAGATTTATTTATTTATTTGACAGAGAGAGCTGGTACACAAGCAGGGGGAGCCCCAGGGAGAGGGAGAAGCAGGTGCCTCCCTGAGCAAGGAGCCCCCTGCGGGCTGGATCCTAGGAATCTGGGATGTGACCTGAGCTGAAGGCAGAGGCTTCAGGGACTGAGCCACCCAGGTGCCCCAAGCCAAATTAGTTTTTAACTTAAAATGCTAATTAATACTAAAAACTGCTGTGAGATTAACAAGTAGTATGGGGGGGGGGAGCGGGGGTGGTGGTGGAGGGGGTTACACATGTCTGTGATTTGTAATTTTTTTCACAGAAACCCCTTTCTTGGGTGCCTGGATGATTTAGTTGGTAGGGCCTATGACTCTTGATCTCTGGGTCATGAGTTCAAGCCCCATGCTGGGTGTGGAGCCTACTTTTAAAGAAAGAAAAGAAACATCCCATTCTTTTCTCCCCTGGGCAGGAGCTCCTGCTGCAGTGCATTTTGGGGGATAGCAGTTTTTGCAAATTTAGACCACCTAGTGGACCTAATTTCCATTTCAGTCAACAGGGCTACACTACTTCAGATCACAAGATGATTATTTTCTTTTAAAGATTTTATTTATTTATTCATGAGAGACAGAGAGAGAGAGAGAGAGAGAGAGAGGCAGAGACCCAGGCAGAGGGAGAAGCAGGCTCCATGCAGGGAGCCCAACGTGGGACTCGATCCCAGGACCCCAGGATCAGGCCCTGGGCGGATGGTGGCGCTAAACCGCTGAGCCACCCAGGCTGCCCACAAGATGAGAATTTTAATTTAGCTCAAATATTTAATATTACATAAAGAGTTGAATAAATCAGATGGTGCCTTTAGTTGGGGCCTGTGGATAAATTTAAAGTTATTTTTGGGGGGCACCTGAGTGGTTCAGTGGTTGAACCTCTGCGTTTGGCTCAGGTCCTCATCCTGGGGTCCTGGGATCAAGTCCCACATCAGGCTCCTAGCAGGAAGCCTGCTTCTCCCTCAATGTCTCTGCCTCTCTGTCTCTCATGAATGAATAATAAAATTTCAAAAAATAAAAAATAAAGTTATTTTTTTAACGCAGGAGGAGCAGCTTCACTGTCAATACTCTGAACCTTGTAACAGGCTGGCTTTTATTTTCTATATTTTCTCTTACAGTTTGTTTACTGCTTATCTATTTTCTTTAAGAGGATAAAAACTAACCCAGAGAAGAAAGTTCCTTTCTACTGCCTCCCCTTGCTCATCCCAAGCCTCAAGGTTAGCTAATCACCAACAATATCTTAAGAACAATCCATTATGAAGCCCCATCCCTCCACTCTGCACCCCGTCTCCTCTCACCTTCTCAAGGAGCTCATTCTTTTGGCTCTGTCTGCCCCTTCCTGAGTCATCAATCTTTCTCACTCTTTCAGATCATTCCGGCCCACATACAAGTAATATAAACAAGTACCGTGTTCTAGTTACTCACTTATGTGAGATATATATTATTTAATTTAAAAAATTGGATATACTTTTTTTTCCACTTTATTTTTGAGATTCATTCCGTGTTTATATATACATTTGGGGAACGCCTGGGTGGCTCAGTGGGGTTGAGCATCTGCCTTGGCTCAGGGCCTGATCCCAGGTAGGGGGTGGGGTGGGGGATGGACTCTCACATGAGGTTCCCCACAGGGAGCCTGCTTCTCCCTCTGCCTATGTCTCTGCCTCTCTCAGTGCGTCTCTCGTGAATAAATAAATAAAATCTTTAAAAAAGGAACACCTAGGGATCTCTGGGTGGCGCAGCGGTTTGGCACCTGCCTTTGGCCCAGGGCATGATCCTGGAGACCCAGGATCGAATCCCACTTCGGGCTCCCGGTGCATGGAGCCTGCTTCTCCCTCTGCCTGTGTCTCTGCCTCTCTCTCTCTCTGTGACTATCATAAATAAATAAAAATTAAAAAAAATAAAAAATAACAATAAAAAAGGAACACCTAGGTGGCTCAGCGGTTAAAGCATCTGCCTTTGGCTCAGGTCGTGATCCTGGGGTCCCGGGGATCGAGTCCCACATCGGGCTCCCTGCATGGAGCCTGCTTCTCCCTCTGCCTGTGTCTCTGCCTCTCTCTCTGTGTCTCTCATGAATAAATAAATAAAAAATCTTAAAAAAAAGAAAAAAGAAAAAGAAAAGCTTAAAAAAAAAAAGATCACATGCACGTTTCCCCAAACAATATATTGATTAGTTTTGTTCTTGAAATGTACATAAATGATGTGTTATAGGTCACACATGATACACTATCTGTTGATGACTTGTGCTTTCACTCAATATTAGAGTTCTAAGATTGATTCACTTGTCGACTCCGAGTTATATAGTTCATCCATCTCTCTTTTTTTAGTTCATCTATTTTTTTCTGCTTATAATATTCCATAGCGTAAGTTTACCATAATTTATTTTTGTTTTTGTTTTTTTCAGAAACAAGAAAAATGTTTTTTTTCAATGTTTTTGCCAATATATATTTTTTTCAGTCTTTTGTAGAATTTTATTTCCTCTCTTCAGTCCTAATAATATGATATCCAAATTTTATTTTAACTGGAGGGTCTGTGAACATAGGCTTATCCAGCCCACTTATAGGCAAGGCAAATGCTGCTTCTTGAAAAGGTCCCACCATGGAATGTCTGGTCATCCAACCCATGCCACCCCTTTGCCTGGCTTTATTTTCACAATACTGTGCGGCCACTTCATTGAATTCTTTTTTTAAAAAAAAAGATTTTATTTATTCATGAAAGACACAGAGAGGCAGAGACATAGGTAGAGGGAGAAGGAGGCTCCCTGTGAGGGCGCCTGATGCAGAACTCAATCCGAGGACCCCAGGATCATGCCCTGAGCCAAAGGGCTCGTGATTTTTTTTTTAATCAGTTATGTATTTATTTGCATAGATTCAAAGGAAAGAATTAAAAATCCAACATAATATTCCGTGAGGTCTACAATTTAATTATTTTTTCAATTTTTTTTTTTTTAAAGGTTTTCTTCCACTAACTTTAGGATGGGACTATTTCGGGATCCCTGGGTGGCGCAGCGGTTTGGCGCCTGCCTTTGGTCCAGGGCGCGATCCTGGAGACCCGGGATCGAATCCCACGTCGGGCTCCCGGTGCATGGAGCCTGCTTCTTCCTCTGCCTGTGTCTCTGCCTCCCTCTCTCTCTCTCTCTCTGTGACTATCATAAATAAATAAAAAATTAAAAAAAAAAAAAAACAAGGATGGGACTATTTCACATCAACACTGAAGCTCAACCACTGAGCCACCCAGGTGCCCCATTCATTGAATCTCTTTACAGACTTTAGCTTTTCCATGGCTCCCATGATTTCCCCTTGTTTTTCACATGGAGTGTGTCTGGCCTTTCCTGCATTCCCACCACCTTTGGAACCCTGAGCCTTTTTGTCAGAACTGCCACTGCTGCTTCCCCTTCCTCTGAATCACTTTTTCCATTGGGTGGCACCTTCACAACGTGCAGCTGAACTGCCAGTATTTTTTTTTTAATCAAAGTACAGTTGAGGGGATCCCTGGGTGGCTCAGCGGTTTAGCGCCTGCCTTCAGCCCAGGGCGTGATCCTGGAGTCCCGGGA